TCATTCAAGTTGTGATTTTGTTCCTTTTGATTTTCATTGCATCCTTGTCATTTTTGATATTATGATACTCTGTTCTATTTAACTTTCCTTTATTAGATAGTCCCCTTGTTACATAGCTTGAGGGTCAGGTGAGGCCACATGTTTAGCTTCTTTGTGGGATCTCTTGGCACTACCTTTACAAAAGTGGAGCACTGACCCACACTGCCTCATTGCATATGGCTAGGATGGATAGAGGTTTAACTCCCTTCTTAGATCTGCCAGTACTTTCATAATGAAAATTGGGTACTGACTCATACCATCTCATTGTCTCCAAGAGGCTGTGGAGGCTTATCTTACCACTGGACCTCACTGACACCAAGGATGTATGGAGTTTGAGTGCTAAGAAATTTACCTGCATTTTCTCGTTTAACCTTTACAGCGACCCTTTCGGGTAAATGTTATAATTATCCACATACAGGCATACCTTGTTTTATTGTGCTTCACATTTATTGTGTTTTTGGCAGCCATGTGTCAAGCAAGTCTTTTGGTGCTATTCTTCTAATCGTATTTGCTCACTTCATGTTACTGTGTCATATTTGGTAATTCTTGCAACATTTTAAACTTTTTTCATTATTATTCTATCTGTTATGGTGATCTGTCATCAGTAATCTTTGATGTTATTATTGTAATTGTTTTGGGGCACCACAAGCAACACCCTTATAAGATGACAAACTTAGTAAATGTTGTGTGTGTTCTGACTGCTTTGCCAACTGACCACTCCTGTCTCTCTCCCTCTCCTTGGGTCTCCCTATTTCATGAGACAAAACAATATCAAATAGGCCAATTCATAACCCTACAATGGCTTCTAAGTTTTCAAGTGAAAGGAAGAGATACATCTCTCATTTTAAATCAAAAGCTGGAAATAATTAAACTTAGTGGGGAAGGCAAGTCAAAAGCCAAGATAGGCCAAAAGGTAGGCCTCTTGAGACAAACAGCCACATTGTAAATGGAAAGAGAAAGTTATTCAAGACAATTAAAAGTACTACTCCAGTGAACACACAAATGACAAGAAATTGAAGCAGCCTTCTTTCCTATACTGAGAAAGTTTTAGTGTTCTAGATAGATAAAATCAGCCACAACATTCCCGTAAGCCAAAGCCTAATCCAGAGCAAGGCCCCAACTTTCTCCAATTCTATGATGGCTTTGAGAGGTGATGAAGGTGCAGAAGAAACATTTGAAGCTAGCAAAGGTAGGTTCATGAGACTTAAGGAAACAAGCTGTCTCTAAAACATCAAAGTGCAAGATGAAGCAGCAAGTGCTGATGTAGAAGCTACAGTAAGCTATCCAGAAGATCTAGCTAAGATAATTACTGAAGGTGGCTACACTAAATAATAGATTTTCAAAGTAGACATACCAATCTTATATTGGAAGAAGATGCCCTCTAAGATGTTTATAACTAGAGAGGAGAACTTAATGCCTGGCTTCAAAATTTAAAGGACACACTGACTCTTTTGTTAGAGGCTAATGCAGCTCAAGACTTTAAGTTGAAGCCAATGCTCATTTCCTATTCAGAAAACTCTTGGGCCCTTAAGAATTACATTAAATTTCTCTGTCTGTGCTCTATAAGTGGAACAAGAGTGCCTAGATGATAGCACATCTGTTTACAACATGATTTACTGAATATTTTAAGCCCACTGTTGAGACCTAATGCTCAGGTGAAAAAAAGTACCTTTAAAAATATATTAATGCTCACTGACAATATACCTGGTCATGCAAGAGCTCTGATGGATATATACAATGAGATTGTTACCATGCCTGCTAACATAGCATCAATATGTAGCCCATGGATCAAGGACTAATTTTGACACCCAAGTCTTTTTATTTAAGAAATACATTAGCTGCCATAGATAGTGATTCTTCTGATAGACCATGGCAAAGCAAATTAGAAACCTTTTGGAGAGGATCAGCATTCTAGATGCCATTAAGAAAGTTCATAACTCATGGGAAGAGGTCAAAATAGCAATGTTAACTGGAGTTTGGAAGAAGTTGATGGATGATTTTAGGAGTTCAAGACTTAAGTGGAGAAAGTAACTACAAATACAGTAAAAATAGCAAGAAAATTATAATTAGAAGTGGAGTCTGAAGATGTGACTGAATTGGTACACTCACATAAAACTTGAATGAAGTTTTGCTTTTTATGAGTGAACAAAGAAAGTGGTTTCTAGAGATGGATTTTACTCTTGGTGAAGATACTATGAAGATTGTTGAAATAACAACAAAAGATTTAGAATAGTATGTAAAGTTAGTTGATAAAGGATTGGTGGGGTTTAAGAAAATTGATTCCAATTTTGAAAGAAATTCTACTGTGGGTAAAATGCTATCAAACAGCATTGCATGCTACAGAGAAATTGTTCATGAAAGGAGAGTCAATGAATGTGGCAAACTTCATTGTCTTATTTAAAAAAATTGCCACACCTACCTCAACCTTCAGCAACCACCACCCTGATCAGTCAGCAGCCATCAACATCGTGGTAAGACCCTCTACCAGCAAAAGGACTGTGACTTTTAAAGGCCCAGAAGACAGTTAATATTTTTTAGCAATAAAGTTTTTTAATTAAGGTATATACCTTAGATTTTTAAACATAATTGTATTGCACACTTAATAGACTATAGTGTAATATAAACACAATATTAATATGCATTGAGAAACAAAAAAATTGTGACTCACTTTATTGCAATATTCACTTTATTGTGGTGATCTGTAATTGAACCCACAATATCTCTGAGGTATGTCTATGTTGCAGTTGATGGTGTTCTCCTAATTGTTTTCAGACTTATGGACACATATCCACAGGATCAGTGTGTGGGTGCTTTGAAAGGATAAAGCTGCCATGGGAGATTTTAAATCTCCAGGACTGCAGTCTTCAGAGGCTTGTATAAGACTACTTGTTTCATTTTGGAGGATTTCTTTGGATTAGAGCAGAGCAGCTGAAACCACTTACTTATTTATTTAACAAATACTTATTGAGTACCTACTCTCTGTAAGGCACTTGAGATACAAGATAAAAATCTTTTCTTGAATGAGTTTATAGTCTAGTGGGTAGGCATACAAAGTAAGCATTATATCTTAGTATAGTTAGGCCCACTGAATCCATAATGTTAGATAATGATTTAAACATCAGAATCATAGTTTTAGAGAAGAAAGGATATTAGAAATTCTTTGTCTCCTCAGGCTGTTTTGTGGGATTGTAAGCAAGAATTCCATTGAAGTGTATAACCAAAGAGCCTGAATTGTTTGCCCTGTTTGCATTTGTGTTCCTGGTGGCTGGTCTTCACTTTCAATAGCTCTTCTAAGTGAAAATAACAGCACATCTTGGTTTAGGGAATTCCTTGGAGGGCATTGTCTGTGGAACATAATGACATGAGAGTTAGACATAACTTCTGACTTTCAGTGTATAGATTGTATATATGTGTGACTATGTACACACCACTATGTCATTCTAAACAGATACCTTTTAATATATGTAGTTTTCTTGCTCCTTTGGAATTACTTCCTTAGAATTATTTTCTTATATTATAGTATTGGAGAGTTAACCCATCTCCAAATTCTTTGCCTCGGAAATATGTGAAACTGAAGGATCTGCACATATTCTGCAGAATCAGCTATTAAGTGGTATGAGGACTAGGATTTTCTGTCCCTGTCTTGGAAGGTAATGAAATGTGCAGGCAGTCAGCACTGCGACCTTGCAACCCTCTTCCTTGCTTTCCAACATTTCCAGATGAATTAATGGCCTTTTTTTACCCAATGATGATATGAGACCTTCCTTTCTTACCAATGAAGATTGGAGAAATGAGAATGATAGACCTAGACTTCTTTGGTTTTTACTGTCATCTTGTAACAAGGATAAAAGATTTATAGACATTCTCATTTAACCTTCATAACGGTCCTGTGACTTGAAGTAGGTGAAATCAAGAACACTTTCTTTTCTGTTTTTCAGATTTTCCATATGAGCATGCAGGACTTTTATAATCAGAAAAACAGAAAATACATACCACAAAATCTTTTCATTTTTTCTGTCTCTACAAAATTATGGCCACAATTTTGTTTCAATATCCTACTTTTTCATACATTGTTCTTATTTCTTATGTAGATCTCCATGTCATTAAATATTATTTGAAAATATGGTTTATACTGGCTCATTACATCCATTTACGAGGGTAAACTAGTTTTATTCAGTCATAGACCATTTAAGATAAATAATGGATGATCTATATAAAGGAACATTACGGAATCATTAAAAATCATGTTTTCAGAGTATTTAATAACCTTGAAAATTATTCACTAGATGTATGAAAAAAGAAGCTATAAAGATATGAAATCTGCTCACAATTTTGTAAAATATAAGCATAGGTTTAGTGAGAGGGAAATCAGAACTATTAACATTTTGTCGCAAGTCTAGATGGTAAGATTAAGGTTAGTTTCATTTTTTGTTTCACTGAATTTCAGAAAATCTCCAAAGTGTCTGTACATTTGTTTTACATTCAGAAAAAAAAATTAAAAAAGCATTACCAGGAGTGAACAGATAGAAAATATAAAGGGGAACTTGGATCAAGATGGTTGACTGTACAGGACTTTTTCTTATATCCGGTCTTACAATCCTTAAACTGAAAGAAAATAATTTATATATACAAACTCGTGTGTGTGTGTGTGTGTGTGTGTGTGTGTGTGTGTGTGTGTGTGTGAGTGTAATATTTTTTAAAGGCTTTGTAAGGAATTCCTGGAAGATAGAAAGCAGATGGAGAGGCTGTGGAGGAGGTTGGCAGGCTACAGGCGGCCAGAGAGGAGGAGGGGAGTCAGCCAATCTGGCTAGAGTTTGAGGGAAGCGGTCGCGGGGCGTGTGAGGGAAAGAGGGAGTGAGCGCCTATGACTGTGTGGATGGAACGTAGTGCGCGCCCGAACCCGCCCTGCTGCAGCTGGCGGAGCGGAAGACGGAATGGCGGGGGCGGGGCTGCGGCTCAGGCGGGCTCTGAGGGGTCCGGTTCCCGAAGCGGCAAAAACCCTGGCGCCAGAGCTAGGCCGAGCAGAGCAGCATTGCGAAGCCGCGGCCGCGCGGACTCGTCAAAGACACGCCGCCGCCTGCGACTTTGGCGCTGCAGCCATCCCTCCTATCCCTTTCCCGTCGTCCCCTTCTCCGTCGCTGTATCGCAGCCGCAGCACCATCGGTAACAGCTAAGTGGTCAATTCGGGGACTTGGGTTTGGGAGTCGGGGCGGGCGAAAGGCGGGGGCAGCACAGGCGAGCCCGCCATCTCCTGCGGCATCTGCCACTGATGCAGGCACCTCTCCGGGGCGGGAGAGAATACTGTCAAGAGGTCCCCGCTGTCCCTGTCCACAATCAGAATTAGCGAGCTTCTGCCAAGCCTTGGGGAGAGCTTTGCATTTGGGGAAGGAAGAACTGACCAGGGACTCGGAGATCACGAGAAAAGATTTCATATTGGATAGTGTTGACTTTTTGTCAGCTTAATCTAGAAAGTTGCAAAGTTGCCAAGCCCCCTTAAGCCCTGAGACATGTCACCCCCAACTGTGCCTCCGGTGGGCGTAGATGGCGTGTCAGCATACCTGATGAAGAAAAGGCACACCCACAGGAAGCAGCGGCGCAAGCCCACTTTCCTCACCCGTAGAAACATCGTGGGCTGCCGCATTCAACACGGCTGGAAGGAAGGCAACGAGCCTGTGGAGCAGTGGAAGGGCACCGTGCTCGAGCAGGTTTCCGTGAAGCCCACTCTCTACATCATCAAATATGATGACAAAGATAGTGTGTATGGACTAGAACTGCATCGAGATAAGAGAGTTTTAGCGCTAGAGATCCTTCCTGAGAGAGTGCCAACTCCTCGCATTGATTCGCGCCTGGCAGATTCCCTGATTGGCAAGGCAGTGGGTCATGTGTTTGAGGGTGAGCACGGTACAAAAGATGAATGGAAAGGCATGGTCCTGGCAAGAGCCCCGGTGATGGACACTTGGTTTTACATCACCTACGAGAAAGATCCAGTCCTTTACATGTACACTCTGCTGGATGACTACAAAGATGGTGACCTGCGCATCATTCCAGATTCCAACTACTATTTCCCTACAGCAGAACGGGAGCCTGGAGAAGTGGTTGACAGCCTCGTGGGCAAGCAGGTGGAGCACGCCAAAGATGATGGGTCCAAGAGAACCGGCATTTTCATCCATCAAGTGGTGGCTAAGCCGTCTGTCTACTTCATTAAGTTTGATGATGACATTCACATTTATGTCTATGGTTTGGTGAAAATCCCCTAAGTTAATTGTGTTCTTTTCAAAAGCTGTGGAACTATTAAATGCAAAATATGTCATGCGAACTTTTGAGAACAGTTTTTGTGTCAGAAATTAAAGAATTTGTTATTACTTACTGTGCCTCCATATCTTACATTAACTAGTTCCACAGTTTTGCCCCAAGTGTGCTTTGATACTTTGATATTACCTTGTTCTGTAATCAAAAGTTTAAATCAGGTGCTAATAGAAGATTGAAAAGGGTCTGTAAACTTTGGAACAATGAAAAACTAGATAAAGAAAAATGAATGGTGTACACACACTGTGGCGCCCCCCTCGCCATTTCCTTACTTAACCTTTTTTTCTCCCCAGGTAACAAGTGTTAAGAACATAATATATATTCTTCCATCCTCCTACAGAAAGTCTGTTGTAGTCGTTTCTGTAGAAATGTCAAGCCACATCATTTCTTTGTAATTGCCTTTCTCACTTGACATATCTTTCTAATCAGTAGCTACAGATATCTCTCCCTCCCACTCCCTCCCTCTCCCCATCTTTCTCTGGAATTTATTTTTGTATGTTGTGTAAGATAGAAGTCCAACTATACATTTTGTTCACATTGGATACCTGATTGTGCCATCACATTTATTAAATAAATCACACATCACATTTCCCTTCTCCCTCTCTTTCTCTCCTTTTATTCCTCCCTCCCTCTAATAGCTGCATATACAAGTACATGTTTATGTACCAAAATGGTACCACTCATGAACCATTCCATTGTGGATGCCTTTTAAGTTATTTCCCTTTTTTCACCGTAACACTCCTACAATACATACTGGTGCTTTTATTTTTATAGGATAGCTTCCCAAAAATGGGACTACTAGGTAGGTGTATATTTAATTTTATGAGATACTACAAAATTATCATCCAAAATGAAAAGGTTCATTTTCCAGCATCCTTTCAGCATTCTTTAATGTGTGCAAATCTGAACGATGAAAAATTACATAGTATTGTTTCTTTAATTGATAAACTCAGTGAGTTTTTATTTGCTTGTTTTTACTATTTGGACTTTTTGTGATTTGCCAGTGCTTATCCTTTGCTCATTTATCTATTGAATCTTTGATCTTTTCCTTATAAATTTATAGAAATTCTAACTATATTTACTATATGGTGCACAGTAATCAGTTGTAGCCCTTATATATTATGATTTTCTCCCTTCTATAACTAATCTTGACTTAATTATTGATATATTTAAAGATTTTTTTTAAGTTTTAGTTAGACTGTTATTTCCTTTTTAGCTTTGGTTTCCTGTCTTTTTCAGCTGAATACCCCCACTCCAAGGCATACAGATATTTACCTTCCTGTTTTAAAAAAATATTAATTTTGAGCTTTAACTGTTTGATCCATCAGGAATTTATTTTTGTATATGATATAAGATAGAGGTCCAACTATACATCTTTTTTCGTATACTATTATGCTATCAGATTTATTAAATAAAGTACGTATTTTCAAATTCCTGAGCCAGTTTAACTGTACTGACCTGAACATAAATTTTGGACTTTGGTAAAGGAAGTCTCCTCTCATTAGTTTTTTATTTTCTTCTTTTATATAACCTGTCCTATACATTCGTTCTTTCAATTGAAAATTTGGAAGCCTTCTTTCCACATTTAAAAAATTGTGATGTCTTAGAATTGTATTACATTTCTGAATTTCTATTTAAAGGATTATTTTAATGATATTATTAATGATTAATATCAAGAATTTTGGTACATCATTAAAGTCTTTTGGTTTTGGCTTTGTAATTTTCTTCATATAAGTCCATCACATCTGATTAAATTATGTCTAAATATTTTTACAGTTTTTGTCACATTTTTAATTGAGTTTTTTTTAATTTTTCCCCTCCTCATTTGTACTTTTGGCAATACAGACAAACTACAGATTTTTTCTTCTATTTAATCAGCTTTCTAAATCCTCTAAATTGCACTGGGTTTTTAAAAAAATATTTTAGGCTTTCTAGATATACAATCATTTCACCTGCAAATAGAGATAATTTTATTTCTTATGATGTTTATATTAATTATTATTACATGATCTGTATTCTCCAAAACAGTTTTGAATAATGACTATGGCAGACATGCCTGTCTGGTTCTCAATTTTCATGGAATTGTTTTTAGTATTCCCTATTAACATGATATTTGCCATTGGTTATTAGTGAATAGTCATTAAATGTTAACATGTTTAGGGAGTTTCTTCTATTCTTGTTTTACATAGTGTTATTACTACAAGTGGCTCCTGAATTTTATCAAATGTCTTTTCAGCATCTGTTGATAAAATAGTATGATTTTTTTCCCTTTAATTTGTTGACATAATGAATTAGAGTGGTAGGTATTTGATGTTGAACCAAATTTGTGCATCTGGAATAAATCCTACTTGGTCATGGTGTAATAATCATTTGATACATTGCTGTATATTATTTACCAATATTTTATTTGCTTTACATTCCAAAGTGAAACTGTAATTTTCTAGTTTTTTATTACAATTGTGCTAGCTTTAAAAATGAATTGGTGAGTTTTCAATCTTTTTCTGTGCTATGGAATAGTTTAAATGGCATTAGAATTATTTGTTCTTTAAAAATTAGTTAGTAATGAGCTGTAAAAACAGTCTAATCCTGGTGACAATTTTGATAGTTGATCTTTAATCAGCTTTCTTATCTCTTCAATGGTAGTTTATTCAAGCTTTCTATTAAAAAGGAACATATATTCTCTATTATCAAGCTTCTTGATTGTATTATTCAGATGCTTTGTCTTTGCATGTTGCATATGTTTATGTCCTACATATGTTCAATTCTGAAAACATTGTGATAAAATCATCATGTATAACTGTTTTAAATTCTCTTTGTATTTTATTTATTTTGAAAAATTAAACATAATACAAGAAGTATGAAAGATATAATAAGCATTTGTTTACCTTCACCAAAAATTAACAAGTGTCAACATTTTGGCATATTTACAATATAATGTTTCATTCCTCCACAGAGGCAAACACTATCATGAATTTGGTGTGAATCTTGCCTATGTTTTATATATTTACTGCAAATATAACCACAATTAATAGTATCTATTTTTGTGTTTTTTAAAAAATTTCAATATGAATGCTAAACTTGGAATTTCTTGTACTTTTTGTTGTAGAGATTCTTTTTTCCAACTGAGAAATGGGTTGCAACAACAAAAACAACCAATAACACTGACCTTAGAATGCAAGTCACTGTTCTAGGTACTTTTACCACTTCTTACACTCAGGGAGGCTTGCCCCAAGCCACAACACTGGCAATTGCCTGAAACAAAGACAAAAATTCAGCTGTCAAGGAGATTATATTCTGGATGTAGCAAGGCAGATATCCACCACCCACCCTTGACCTCAAGACCAGAAATAAGCATATTTTCCTATGATAATATTGGAGTTACCCCACTTTCTGACACTCAGGATTAGAGCTGGCCTTTATCCTGTCACTATTTTAAGAGTTTGGGACATAGCAGTGGACAAAACAAAAAACTTGCTTCCTTAACACTTTTTTTTTTATCTTTCAAGTAACCTTAACACCAATAACAAAGATATATGGTAGGTATAAAACTCTACAAAACAACATAAAAAGAATGTGATAAATAACAAAGGATTGGGGTATATGTGTACTATGTGATAAACTGTACTATACAGTTTGTCTTTAGACAACAAAAATATAACTGTATATTCATTTTAGATACATAACACTTTCTAGTTCCTGCTCTCTCACTAGGCCCCAGGTCCTGAATCAAGTGTTATATTATTCTGTAATGACAGTGGATTTTTAGCATAAAGTAAGAGAGAAGCTTAACCCTGGACTAGAACCTGGAGATAGAACAGTGGAACAATCTAAATAAAACCCCTGCTCTCTTAGAACATATATTCTAATGGGATGCAGAAGGCAACCACCTACGATCTTTATATCCCTGGCCCTTAGGCCTTGTATATCCCACAACTTGTTAGTCAGACAGAACAAGGTTTCACCTTGGTTCTAATTCTGTTTTAGAGGTTAAGAATACAGTTGTGAGCAAAATATGGAACTATGTCTTAGTGGGAGGAAGGTAGAAAAAAATAAATGTAGAATTTTGTGTTCACCAATTATGCCTTTATCTCATAACTTTCTGGACTCTTGGACTCGATCCAAGTTTCAGATTATTCTATATCACATCTGCTTGCTTTGAATTAAAGGGAGGCTCAACCTTGACCTGTCAGTCTATGCTCTTGAAACTCACATTCTACTTGGAAGAGACAGTCATCCCCTTATTCTTGGACTACCAGTCTAGAGACAGTCATCCCCTTATTCTTAGACTACCAGTCTAGAATCAGGTCTTACAGTGTTTCATGATGATATCAGAGTTCTTTCATATTCTGGCACTAAATCAGAGGCAGAACTGAACAATATTTATGGCACTGTTTTAGGAGGAGGAAATTGCCAGAAACAAAGTCCTTGCTTTCATAGTGCTTACAATTTATATCATGCAGGGTAGAAACAGAGTCCCATCTTCTCCCTCCCAACACACTATACATACATCAGTTTTTGATGGTTGCTTTGAAAAAAGTAAAGCAGAGTGAGTAAAGGGACAGCATGAGGTTTGGGGCATTCTGTTCTATATATGTGGTAAAGAAGTCCTTTCAGAGCAGATGACTTGAATAAACACCTGAATAAAGTGAGGGTGCAAACCATGTTGCTGATGCCTTAAGACAGAATGTGCCTGGAGGTTTGTGACAGCAGCCTAGTGTAGCCATATTGGAAGTGAGCAAGAAAGAGAATGAGAGGAGATGAGATCAAAGAGTTTGTCAGGGGCCAGATCCATGTACAATCTTATGGACAACTGTAAAGGATTTGGATTTTAATCTGAGTGAGATGAAAAGTCACCTGTTTTGAGCAAAAATGTGACAATTGTCCCTGTATCACTCATTAATTGATCTGACTTAAAATACTTCCTTTATCATCAAATAAGGTCTCATTTGTGCTTGGTCTCTCTTGCCCCATTGGACTATAGGTCTTTTTCCTCTCTGATATTCCTGGAGAACCCACCATCTCTAATGTATCCATGCCTTGGCTCTGTCAGTTTGCTAATTCTGACTTCTGGCTTTCTTCAGATAAGGAGATTGAGAAGAGATGAAGTCAGAAGGAATATTCAAGCTTCCATATTTCCAAAATTCTACTATATATTCTTGAATATATGGCGAAAATGTCAGAGATTGGGTCAAAGAATTCTAGCTTAGAGGTTGCAAAAGCAATTCAGACAGAAATTTATAAGCTAAAAACTTAAGGAATATTTAGGGGCATCGTGGAGATGGATTAATATTTTTGTCTGATTAACTATATAAGAAAATACCTCAAGGATTATGGTTTATCTGTAGAGATCAGACAGTTAAGTTGTGGTAATGGGCAAGATTTTGAGATAGTGAGTTTAAAAGTAAAGAACACAGAAATAAAGGCTGAATTAGTAAATGTAGGTGTAAAATGACTTCCTTTTTTCTCCTTTAGATTGTATCTGAACAGACTCAAAACATGTGAATGAGATGTGAAATGTCTATATTGTCCATTGTTTGGACAAAATCTTTTTTATAAAGTTATATATTTAAACTGGCTGATTATTCTACCTATGTTTCTGAATTTACTTTTGACTGCTTAAAACTATATTCAGGGTTTTTAAAAATGAAAAGATTTCATGTTTTCTTTCCTTCACGTATTTTTCACATCCATCCTTCATTCCTTTATAAGTATTCATACCATAAAGGATATAGGCTCCTTTTTAAAGACATCTAAATAATCCCAAAAGAAAGCTACATACATGCTTCTCACAAATCAGGCTTTCTGCTGTAGTTACTTTGATTACTACTTGTTTATTTTATTTTACATTTAAATTGTGCAAGACATTTTTCTAGAGGTTATGCTGGCATGTCAATTCATAACACATGATCTTTTATCATTCCAATAGCCTTCAGACCAATAACAAAGATATAAGATGGGTATAAAACTACAAAACAAAGTAAAAATAATGTGATAAATATCATTAAAGGGTTAGAGCAATGCATATCTACCACGTGAATTTAGATATATTAGCGTATAGTCAGGGTTCTTCAGAGAAATGAAGTCAATAGAATTCATTCATTCATTCATTGTAGGAATTGTCTCAGGTGATTATGGAGGCCAAGAAGTCCCATGACTTCTTTATTGGTTATAGAAAGTCCAGATGCAACAAAGTATCCTTCATTTTAGAAGAAATAGCTTGACTCAACCCCCAGAAATTTCTCTGAGATAGAAGACCCCTGAATTTTAGTTGGATTTATTTCCCACCCTCTGACATGCAAATATCTTACTAATGAATCTAGAGAAATTGCTACTTCTTGATCACAAGGTGCAATCAATATAATGTCATTAATGTAATGGGTTAGTGTGATATTTTGTGGAAGAAAAAGGTAAACAAGATCATGTGAACAAAATTATGACATAGAGGTGGTGAGTTGTTATACCGTTGAGGTAGGACAATGAATGTGTACTGTTGGCCTTGCCAGTTGAAAGTAAACTACTTCTGATGGACCATATGGGCAAGAATGGAGGAAAAAGCATTTGTAAGATTGGAAACTTCATACGAAGTATCAAGGATTATGTTAATTTGCTCAAATGAAACCACATCTGGTAAACCAGCTTCACTGGAGTCATCACCTACTTAAGCTTATGATAATTCACTGACATTCTTCAAAATCTGCCTTCTGCACAGGCCAAGTATGAGAGTTGAATGGGCATGTGGTGGGTATCACTACTCCTGCACATATCAAGTCCTTGATAGTGGCACTAATCTTAGCAATCCTTTCAAGAATGCACTATTCCTTTTAATTAACTAGATTCCCAGGTAAAGGCAATTCTAATTGCTTACATAGCCTTTCCCACATTTCTATTCCTCACTTCACAGGTCATGAAACCTGTATGGAGATTCTGCTCACTGCTAAGTCTGTCTATTCCAATAATTAAATTCTGGAACTGGGGAAAGAATCATGAGTTCAGGGAACCACTGGGCCCACTGTGAAACAGACCTGAACTAAAACTCCATTGCTCATATGATCTCCATAAGCCCCAACTCTGACTTGAGGGCCACAGTAATGTTTTGGGTCTCCTGGAATCAGTGTCAGTTCAGAGCGAGTGGCCAGCAGTCCTCAAAAGATCTGATTATTTCCTTTACCTCAATATACAATTATCCCGGTAAAAGATCAGAGGTTCCTTTGGGGAAGTCCTTTTGAGGAAAATTAACAATATAAAATTTCAGTAGTGTACTGGGGTCCTTCCTTTAAGGGGACCCAGTTTCCCCTTAGTTCAAGAGAATCTGTGTATGTTTGTTGGCTCAGATCTCAGAATTGATTGAGGGCCTGTGACCCTCTGTTTTTGATTCAAGTTATGTTTTGCTTACCTAGCTAGAAATTTTCTGCTGTTCATTATGGTAATCATGTCCACTTTGGTTTTGGAAGTTGAGTCCTACCACTTGGCCCCTAACATAAACACATAAATCCAATCACCTGAATCCAATAACCTCAGTGACATTTATGTTTTCCATTTGAGTAGCTGTGGTTCTCAGCGTAAGGTCTGGCCTACAAAGAAGAGTGATCACAAAATTCTTCAAGGATGTTGGGGTTCTCCTCACAGATATACTTCTGAAAGTATCGAGAAAAGGATGTCCTTTGGATGTGTAGTGTG